AGTTAGGGCCCTTCCAACACTAACTTTAAAGTGGCGGCCATTAAAAACATTAGCCTCAAGATTTATTTGCCTGACAGGCTGCTGTGCAGATTGATAGCTCAGCAGTAGAGAAGATACATTGTACGCAGAAGGTCCCAGTTTGATCCCTAGTGTGGTAAGAACTTACCTCTACACCACTTTGTAGAGCAGCCTTTCTCAACCTGTGGGTCCCCAGATGTTGTTGAACTACAACTCCCATCACCCCCTAGCTAGCAAGGCCAGAGTTCAGGGATGATGGGAGTTGCAGTCCAACAACATCTGGGGACCCACAGGTTGAGAACCACTGTTGTAGAGGTTCATCACCCAAGTGATGAACAACCACCTTTTGAGTAAACCACAGAACCAAGGAAACTATTTCCAAGTCCAGCAACCAGATTAAGGGACCCAGTATTTATTGTAGCTATTGCAACAGGACAGAGCTCGCTCAATTCAACGTGCCAGTTGAGAAGATCTGCTCCGAGGCACTTCAGAACAAAAGCTTATATAGTAGTTCAAACACAGCAAACAAGGAGTCATGAAACATCTTCACATACGCCAGAAAAGGTTAAGGGTCATGAGAAGTAAAGCACACATGTTGCTGAAATTCACCAGCAGGGAGAGTGCTATTCCACTCTGGTGGAATAGACATCCACTTGGCCACTGCAAGCACTAGATCACTCCATTAGCCTGGTCCATCAGAGTTTGCCTTAGGTTCTTAAGCTGTGTTCTCTGTTTAGGTGGGATGGTGCCCAAGCCTCACGAGCCCAGTGATTGCACCACAGATTGCCCAGTTGCTGATGAGACACTGGAAGTTATGTTCTCCTATCACTGCCCATGGAAGGGGGAGAGCTAGGAGGTAGGTCCCATCAGTTTCTCTAGCAGTTGGAACACCATCTCTGATCTTCTCATCAAAGAACCCCACTGTTCCCGGGAACACAGTTTGAAAGCCACTCCTCTGCAGCAACAACTGCAAATGGTCTCACCATACACATATATTAAGTGTGATTGCTATGGTTTCAAGCACTGCAAAGGCACCCGGCCATTTGAGTTCCAGGAACATTGTAACCAAGGGCTATTTCTGCTCAATGAAAACAGAAACTCTGGAGCAGCGTTAATTGGCCCTTCATGCCCAGGCTTGGAAGGCCGAATGGGTCATTTTCATCACAGCCTATTCAATGCAAGGCCATAATCGCCCCATAAATAGGCACCCTGGACCTCTCCCTGAGCCAGTATGCGTCTGGTTGAATAACACCCTTTGATTGAAGTTCTTATTTTATCCATTAAATATGTACACTGTGCACAAGAGCTAAGCCATGTGAGCAACAGACAGCTGTGTGATTTGTCCTAAAAGTTCCTATACTGCTGATGTGAGGGCTTTCACTTAGATTTATTTCTACTTCAGCCACAACTAATGACATAAGAATGGCGAGGGGATTTGACCACAGGAGACTGATACAAAGACTGCAGGGAATGGAATAGAGGGACAAAAGAAGCTGCCTTATACCAAGTCAGACCAATGGTCCATCAGGGTTCATATTGCCCACACAGACTGGCATAGGTTTTCCAGTATTTTGAGCAGGTTTACCACCCCAGCACTACTTGAAGATACCAAGAATTGAACCTGGAACTTTCTGTATGCAAAACAGATACCTATCACCAGGGATTTGTTTTTCAGCTGGAGCTTACTGGAGCTCAACTCTGGCACCTCTCAGGTGGGCACCATTGCCATTCTAAGATAACAATGGAAAAGTTCATGGTGAGCTCTGGCACCTATTTTTTTCTAGAAAAATAGCACTGCCTACCACTGAGCTACAGCCCTTCCCAAATTTGAATACAAGCAAACATTGTCGGTTTTAATAGCTCATCTCTGTTATTGCTTAAAACTGGTACACCCATACCCAGTGAAGATCAACGGTAGTGCTCAGTGGAGGAAGAAGCCAGCCAGCCAATCAACCAGTTGAATCTTAGAGGATACTTGCCTGGAGACAGAGTCCACATGCAAGATTCAGTCCAGTTCTAAGGCCAGGAATATCTCAGTTCACATAGTCAGGCGATCTGGGGTTCAAGAAAGCCGAGGGTGCAGGGTAACAAGACGCAAGGTCTGGCCAGGAACAATGAATGCTGTTTGCAGCAACTGACTTGAGGCCGGAAACCCTGCTTAAGAAAGCTGGAGCTGGCTGGTTCTCAACAGGAGCAAGAAGGCTGATCAGCAGCAGTTGGAGTCATTTCTCCTTCTGCTCCTTCAGGCTGCTGCTCAGCAGGTGAAGCTGATTCCTGGCCCATGACATTCAGTTTCTCTCAGTTTCCCCTTTTTTTCTGTCCCAAGTTCAGTTCTCCAAATTTCCACATCAGTTTGTGGATATATACCGTATTTTTCCATGTATAAGACTAGGTTGTTTTCCTTACAAATGTGGGGGCGTCTTATACACGGAGGCCATCTCCGCCCATTTTCTTAAATCGGAGTCCCCCAAAATAGGGGTGGCTTATACATGGGGGCATCTTATAGATGGAAAAACACGGTATGTATCCTCGTGAAGGGACGTGGGTGGCACTGTGGTCTAAACCGATCAGAAGGTTGGCGGTTTGAATCCCCGCAACAGGGTGAGCTCCCGTTGCTTGGTCCCAGCTCCTGCCAAGCTAGCAGTTTGAAAGCACATCAAAGTGCAAGTAGATAAATAGGTACCACTCCAGCGGGAAGGTAAATGGCATTTCCATGCACTGCTCTGGTTTCACCAGAAGTTGCTTAGTCATGCTGGCCACATGACCTGGAAAAACTGCCTGTAGACAAACGTTGGCTCCCTCGGCCAGTAAAGCAAGATGAGCGCCGCAACCCCAGAGTCTTTTGCGACTGGACTTAACTGTCAGGGGTAGAATAAAAAACATGATCAGGGATATGAGGCTCAAGTGAGAACTAATTATGGGGTGGGTTTATTTTGTTTGTTTGTTTTGTTTTAAGGATGCTCATTCAAAAGAGGGCCCTGATGGGAAAGGGATTAGAGAAACATGAACACCTAGAAGGGGCAGTAATTCAGCTAATGATTTCTTTAGATCTCATGCTCTAGTAGCTGTCTCATTTAGCAGAATTCTGGGTAATTTACAGCCTATTTGCACATGCTCAGCAGGTATTTATTTTTTCCTCTTCTCAAACTGTCAGATCAGCCTTTTGTTCGGAGCAAAGTGTGTTTTTCTGTGATTCATTAGGTCTCATTAGTCCCCATTCCCCTTCTGCGTACAGTAACTTGAGTGGGGGAGAGAATCACTCAGCAACACCAGGAAAAGCTCCCCAGACAGCAGTAACTTAACTACTCACAAGCTGCACAAACTTTGAGGCATTTAAACTCTTTTTTCCAAAGAAATGTGCAGGGGAAGGGAGAGAAAGGGAGAGAAGCTTCACGACTGACAGCCTAGTTAAACTCCTAGTTTAAAATGATTCAGACTCTTATTTTTAAATGAATCATAATTATTTAGATGGAAGATGTTCTCCAAGCTGGAACTAGGCTGGTGATACATGATAATGTATCTTTGTCACACTTTTTCCTCTGATCAAATGGTTATGGCAAGGTTTTGTACATACCCATCTGATCATACAAGTATAAACTTGTGTATAAACTTTCTGTTTTTCCTTCTGATCAATCCACAGCAAGGTTTTGGATTCTCTCTTCGGTTTCCCTCTTTCTGCACTGCTTTCTGTCATCTTGGCCCACTGCTTTCTTCGTGTGTGCATGTGTGTAAACCTATTGCTCTGCTAGACTTCACCCCAACTCAAAGAAGCAACCAGGACTCTGACATAGAGAAGGAGCCAATTGACTCAGAAAGGGTGGTGGTACTGCTGAAATGAAACTGAGAGTCTGAACCAGAGCCTGAACAGAAGTCTCACAGCTAGCATCCCCTTGTTAGAATTCCTGCTCCATGATTGCAGTCATGGGATTGTTGTCTATCACACGACGGTGTATGTTTTGACTTCACAGAGTGGGAAGTGATGGAGACAGGATGTTTGTGTTACTGTGTTCCGTGAAGTGGGACTATTGTCCTTTGTTCTTTTTTTCTCTTTGCTGTCTGACGCTAGAGAGAGAGGGAGCCATGTTGCAGTGCTCCGCGTGTGTTTGTATGTAAATAAACATAGATTAGCCAAAATGCTGAGTTGCTGAGGTCTGTTACGCAAGCTGTGAAGAATCTGAGGATCCCTAAGTGTGCCGATGTCTGTTGGCGTTGGTCGCTGTGATGTTCGGGCAGAAGAAAGCTTTTGAAGCTTCTGAAAGATCAACCAGGAGGGGATAACATGCCAGTTGGGCAGGTGTCTCTGCCAGGGTCCTACTCAAGAGTAGGACGAGCTCCTGGCACCCCTTGAGCTGGAGCCCTCTGAACTGGGGACCCCCCCCCCAAAGACAACCACCATACTTCATTAGGTTTTCACCATTGTAAATATTGGTATTCCACTTGTGCGAACTGTGTGTGCAGGTGTATATTCCACCCGAAGCTTTACTGTGAAACTGAAAATGGAATTAAGGGACGGAAGAAGCTTCATATCTGGAGGCTTCTCGTGCACATGCTCTAGTGGGATAACCTTGAACTAAAAAAGCTTGATTGTAATTTACTTTCAAGATCAAATTAATATTGTTTGGATCTGCTGTCACAGGATCCCTAAAAGGCGCAGGGCCCATAGGCTGGTGCCTCCTCTGCCTATTTGGTAATCTGGCACTGACTATATGAGGCCAGGGAGCTTTTTCCCTCTACTGTCCACTCTAGATGGCAATTTTTATTTATTCTCCCTGTGGTCTCCTCAGATCTTCCATTCTCCCTCAGAAACACCTCACTGGTATTGAGGGATGGGGAATACCTTCTCAGAAGTTCCTGGGGGTTTTAAGAGAGTTGTGTTTCAGTCACTCTGGCAGAGTGCCACACTTTATAGCAAAAGCTGAGAGTCTTATTACACTGGTGCGTGTGACCCATTCCATACAATGGCTAAAGCTCAGTGGGGAAGAGCCATGGCTCAGTGGCAGAGCATCTTCTTTGCATGCAGATGGTCTTAAGTTCAATCCCCAACATGTCCAGGTAGGGCTGGGAGAGACAGACATCAGAAACTCTAGGGAACGGCTGCCAGTCACAATACTACTGAGCTAGCTGGACCAATTACTTGACTTGGTATAATGCGGTTTCCTATGTCCCTTCCTTAAGCTGTCTGTGGGGGGTTATTCCAATTGTCAGTGGGAACAGTGAGAGAAAAATGTATAAAGGTGAGGGTTCCATTGGTTCTTCTGTCCATGCGTTGGGACAGAGGTGGCACTGTGGTCTTAACCACTGAGCCTCTTGGGCTTGCTGATCGGAAGGTTGGCAGTTTGAATCTGCATGACAGGGTGAGCTCTTGTTGCTTTGTCCCAGCTGCTGCTAACCTAACAGTTCAAAAGCATACCACTTCGAGTAGATAAATAGGTACTGCTGCGGTGGGATGATCAAACAGCATTTCCATGCACTCTGGCTTCCACCACAGTGTTCTGTGCACCAGAAGCAGTTTAGTCATGCTGGCCACATGACCCAGAAAAAGCTGTCTGCAGACAAACACCAGCTCCCTCAGCCTGAAAGTGGAGGTAAGCACCCCACCCCAGTGCTTTTTTCTGGGGGAACACAGGGGTTCACATACCCTTAAACATTTTGTAAATATTTTCCCCACATAACATTTTATTAATTTTCCAACAAAAACAAAACAAACATCAACAAAAACAAAACAGATTAATTCATCCTATTCCCTTCCTTGGTTCCATTGTATATCAATGTACTACATGTCCATTATAAAGTTTAAACTGTTTGAATTACTTATTGTCCATTCATAATAAAATTACAAGCATTCTTAAAACCCTGCCAATGAAACATTTTGTGAATCTTTGTACGGTTGTCCATTTACTGTATTTATTTTCCCCAATTTGAACTATAAAATGTTGATTTTCTTGAGTCCAAATGAGAGTACCCCTAAACATTTTTAAAGAAAAAAAGCACTGCCGCACCCCATGGTCAAGTTCGACTGGACTTAACCACCCACAGGTCCTTTACATTTAACTTTTTGCCTTCTGTCCACGCCCACTTTCTGCCTGTTGCCCCACCTACCAGAAGGTTGTCGATGACATAATGCATCCCTTGGGCTGAAAAGAGTTTTCCATCCCTAATCTATGAGACCAAGGGGAGTCAGCTGAAACTGATAATCCACCCACCTGATCCATCCCTCATTCAGGGAGACAACAAATTTAGCCAATCCAACACTGGTTCCACCCTGAAACTCCACACCCTCCCAGATCGCCCTTGGCACCCCAAGAACAGATACAGCATTGGGTCCAAGCAGAAGGAAACAAATCCAGCTCCAATTCTCAGAGCTTAAGGGAACTCTTCAGCAGATATGGAACTCATCCGGTCTATAATCAGTGGACATTAAATGTATTGCCCGTATCAGGAGGAACTGCTACCCAACCTAGCAGCTACAGTGTGCCATTAAGCATCATTAAATTGTCCAAACACTTATTAGAATGTTAATATCTTTCTAATAATAATTACTTCTTGCGTCTGTAATTTTGAATCAGCGGCACACTGTGCTGTCCATTTCACGTTGTGTAATTTTCTCCCCAAGTCATTCCTTCTGGAGGAGGAGGTGCGTGCTTAAGCATCTCTCCTATGCAGAGCATATGGTGTGCCTTAATAAGGCTTAATTAAATGCTTGCTTAAATCATATTGCTGGGAAAATATTTATTCTCTTTCTTTATATCATTAAAGTGCATTGGAAACTTTATTTTAATTGCTAGACTGTTTTTTTGGGGGGGGGGGTGGGTTGGAGCGCATAAGGAGTGGGTGGGAGGCAAAGCAGCTTAATCCTTTAAATAAATATTGCAAACATCACCAACCTGCCTTGCTTAAGGGTAATTAATCAATGTTTGCAAAGCCTTTTGAAATTGAAAAACACGACGTTTTAGCCTAATTAGGAGTCATTAGTGAAATGCCCAGCGAATGGTGGGCACATGGGTGAAATAACCACATTGCTTACTTTTGGCCATACTATGGAAATATATTTATGTGTAGTATTAGCCAAAGTTATGCACCCATTGGAAGTTCACAAGTCTTCTCTGAGTATGGCAGGTGTTGAACACTGAATACTAGGGGATCAAAGCTCTTTTGGAAACTGCCGTGCTGAAAGGCAATAATGCCTCTGAATAGCAGTTGCTGGAAATCAGTGGAGAAGAGAGTGTTCTAGTGCTTAGCTCCTGCTTACCTGTTTCCCACATGTATCTGGATGGCCAATGTGAGAAAAGGATGCTGGCTGACATGGGCTATTAGCTATTATTTTCTTAAAAGGGCAACTGAAATGATCAAGGGCTTGCAACAGCTCCCCCATGAGAAACATTTGTGGCTTTTTAGTTTAGGGAAAACTTGAGCAGGTTGGGTGGGGCATGATAGAGGTGTATCAAGTTAGGCATAGATTAGAGAAAATGGATAGGAAGATGTTGAAAGACCTACATTGGCTCCCAGTACGTTTCCAAGCACAATTCAAAGTGTTGGTGCTGACCTTTAAAGCCCTAAATGGCCTCGGTCCTGTATACCTGAAGGAGCGTCTCCACCCCCATCGTTCTGCCCGGACACTGAGGTCCAGTTGTGAGGGCCTTCTGGTGGTTCCCTCACTGCGAGAAGTCAAGTTACAGGGAACCAGGCAGAGGGCATTTTTGGTAGTGGCACCTGCCCTGTGGAACACCCTTCCACCAGATGTCAAAGAGAACAACAACTACCAGACTTTTAGAAGACATCTGAAGGCAGCCCTGTTTAGGGAAACTTTTAATGTTTGATGCATTACTGTATTTTAATATTTTGTTGGAAGCCACCCAGAATAAAATATAATAATAATAATATTAATAATAATACTAATAATAATATTTTCTTCCTCTTTTAGAATACTGGAATATAGGACCACCCTGTGAAGCTGAATGTTGGGAGATTCGGGACAGACAAAAGAAAAGTACAACTTCACACAGTGCATAATTAAACTATAGACTTTGCCCCCACAAGATGTAGACATGTCCACCAACTTAGAGGGCTTCAGAAGAGGATTAGATAAATGCATGGAGGATAAGACTACCGGTGACTATTTCCTGCAATGGCTATTTTCCACCTGCATTGTGGAAACAGTATGCCTCTGAACAGTAGTTTGCTGGGAATCACACACAGATAGAGTGTTGTAGCACTGAGGTCCTCCTTGCAGACTTCCCAAAGGCATCTGGGTGGCCAGGCGGCAGGCATATTTCAATTCTGCAGAGCTGGGCTACTATGATTTAGATTTAGATTTAGATTTAGATGGCCTCTCCTTCTCTGGAGATTTTTGAGTTGAATGGCCATCTGTCAAGGATTCTTCGGCTGAGATTCTTGCATTGTAGGGGGATGGACTAGATGACTCTGGGGATCCCTTCCTACTCTACCTTTCGTTGATTCTCTGATAGCAGCAGACCAGTAGACTATTCTCTACAGACCAGCAGCGACATTTTTCATGTGTTGAGATCTCTGTTGATTCAAAACCTCCCCGCCCCCGCAACACACACACAAAGTCTATTGAAACTCCTGACCTCATGGCCAGGGAAGAAAGAGAAAAGGGGCAGAGAGTGCTCAGAGAAAGCGGCGACTGCCACCCCCCAGCTGACAGAGAGCATTCTTCACTTCCTTCCCCGGCTGCAGCTGCTCTCACCCGTCCATGCGCGCTCAGTCAGCTCTGAACCTCCGGACATCTCTTAAAATTCAAAAATTCCCCCCAGACACCATTTTAAGCATCCAATTTCCAGATTTGTCCAGAATTTTCCAGACGTATGGCAAGCCTAAGGTGGACAAGCAGATTGATTGGCCTGTGGGACACTTCCGGGTTGGTGCCACCGGCAATGGCGGAATTCCTCTGATCGGGAGGAATTTCCCTCGTGGAAATTCGGATCTGGCCGCCACGGCGAAGGCGGAGACCCACTAAAAATCACAGGCGGGTGAAGCCTGTGAACGTGGGATTCGGCGGGCACCTTTTGCGCCTCCCCTAACTGCGGGGAAACCCGGTTTTGGGGATCCGGAGCGATGTGGGGTGAGCGGCACGGTGCTTTGGATTGACTGCTTCTTCCACGGAGTGAAGCCGCATAGCTGTTGCCGGAGAGCGCTGACTTTTTCCTGTGGACAATTTGATCTTAAAGCAACTACCCGTGAGTAGAGTGAAGAATTGGATTTTTAAACGTCTTAATTTGGCACCGAAACAGGGAGGCTCAAAACAGGAAGTCCACCTCCCCTTTTTGTAAATAAGACTGAGGCAAAGAGGCTGCAAGCTAAAGTCTTGGAAAGCCTACTGTAAAGGACTAAATTCTTATCAGTAAAAAATATTAAACCCCCCTTGGAAGCAGGAGAAGAGGCGGGAGGCTTTGGATTGTGTATCCCTGCAGGAATGAGTGAGGAAGTTAAAATACCACCGTTCCGAACCTGGAAATGGGCTGCCAGTAAGACCGACGTGTCTTGGAAGGTTCATTGACAGCGAATAGACCGTTCGGTGACAGCTAGCATAAGAGAGATACATTGTTTCTATTGTCTTCGTCTGCACTTAAAAAGGAGTAAAAGTAACGGAAAATTGAAACAACTTTATTGAACTTTATTAAAAGAGGAGGAAAGTAACTGAAAATTGAAACTAACTTTGGATTATTGAAACTATTGTTTAAAAGAGGACATTCTGACCGATACAAATACAACTCGTTTTCCCCTAGTGGAAGCTTTTGAAATTGGTTACTTGATAGGAGCTGGGCTAGGGGAATTTCCAGTTGCAAGATAAAAAAGTGTGAGACTTTGGAATTGACTTTGAATCTCTTAAATGTTATGGCAAATGGAAAGGAAAAAACAGACGGGATGTTGACAGAGGAGGCCTTAGTGGCTGCATTATTGAAAATAAACGATTCGCTGGAACAACTCCACAAGAAAACAGATGCGATAAATGTGAAATTGGATGTTGCAAATATTGAAATTGATTCAACTGTAGAAAGTTTAAATAACTTGGGACAAAAGGTGAATATCA